AGCACTCACGTTTTTTGGAAACGTAAAAGGCACAACACTACAACATAAACCAATATTGCCAGATGGAGGAATGTATTGTCCTTAATGGAATTGTACAGCAATTAGGAAAGCATTTCGATGGTTCAACAAATCAGCCATTGACGTAAGTATGTACGTGCTCATAGTCCGGCACCGCGACGGGAGACTCGCCCTAAAAATGAGCGTAGAAGAAGCAAATGAAAGAGAGTAGAATGCAGCTAATAAAGAGAGCACAATATTCATGATGAGAACAAGGGTACCAAATTATTTGCAATACCTATTAACACCTTGAAAAGTTCTATGAATTTCTTAACACACAACACCGGAATATATTTGTAGCACAAATGCAATGGTTGCTAGTTTGTATGCTGCATATCCTAGCTGCATCACTGAGCTCTTTACATCTAATTAATAAATCATTTGATGAGCCACTTCAGCAGCAACGACACTTGTACAGTAAAGCACACACACTTGATAACCCAGTCATCAGCTGTATACAAATATATTAACTTGAGAATGATAAAACATATTTTTTTTCTTATCTTATTTTTTCTAAAGCCAGCATTGGCATTTGCCAAATTCTTATCAGTAACTCTTTGGCTTCTGCCAATAACTGCGATTGCCTTTGACGGAGCTTAAATGGTTGACTGGGAAGACACTTTGCGCACCAGGCAAAGGGCGGTGACAACAGTTGATCACTTTTCTGTGCTTCTCCTTCTTAGATCCCCGCTGCTTTCTCTTTGCTATACTTCTTATTCACACTTTTCACTTTTTTATTTCATGTACAATTTTTTTATATTTTACCTTGCAGCGACACTCGTATGAGCATTTTACATCAATTTTCCTTGACATTTCCACCCCGCCCAAAACAAGCACACGCACTCATACTCAAATTAAACAAACACAGCGCATCCTTTTCCGCTACGTGTGCACCAGCAGGACCATAGGCACTTTTCACTAGCATGTACTAGCATCAAAGTCGACGCAAGCAACGACAGCAGAGGAAGGAACGAGCAGGTCGGTCTTGAGGGCCATTACCGCCACACCGACCACCGCACACACCGTGACAAACAAAAATCTTACACTTGTAATCCAAATGGAATGATTCTTTTATCTGCTTGCTCGCACTCACTCGTTGCACTTTTTTCATTCACTATACTATGACCTTCCCATAGCAAATGTATAGTATTCGCTTACTTTAATTTTTAATTGTATTCACGGCTCACATAATTTTGATGCAATCCAATCCCTTTAAAATACTTTTCACGAATTAAAAACCTTTTTTGTTTACAAATTTCGTCTCCGCCGTTTGCAAATTTTCTTTATTCTGTACTGAGAATCACTCGTGACTGCGTTGCCAAGTAGCTGTGCAAATGAGTGGCGTTGCCAATCGCACTCGCCTTTCGTATTGCGTTTTGTGCTTAAAGTAGCTGTTAGACGTGGCAAAACTCTGGCAAACTTAAGAATTTCTACGATTACATTGACAGCTACACCTTGCAAATGTTCAACACTCGAATGGATTGCACTTGCAGCAACATGACAAATACTAGTGCGGCACAAGCAAATTCAAGTTATTTCTCAAATCAATTTGCAATAGACCTACATATTTTTTAATTCCGAAAGTTTTTCCTACAGATTTGCCAAAAGTGCATAATATATGCCCTCTCCTTTATTTCTTTAGGAAAGAGTGAGGCAACAGGCTGATGAATTGTCAGATGTCAAAGTTCCTCAGACACACACACGAAAGAATGGCAATTTTTTCTTGACCGTTTTCTTGAGAACTGCATATTGCCCTGTAAAGACAAAAAAAGGTATATGTGAATTACTATTGCTAGCATGGTACAATAAATTTATTGTACCATGATTGCTAGCATATTGTCAAAGTTTTTATTGCAGCATACATACTTTTTTATATCATGGTAGCATACCTTCTAGGCCTCATGCTTTGCTGTCAAAGTTCGTACTGTCAAGCTAAGCGAGTAAAGACGTATATAAACGGCCCTTTAGGACTGGTTGGTGGTTCTTTGCTTATTCAATTGCAACTCTGGCAAACAACGAAACTTTTCAAATCGAACAAAGCTGCAAATTGTCGTCGTGTTTCGCAATTAAAGCGGGGATAATTTCTAGTTTTTCGGGGAGAAATAATATTTAATTACAAGAAAACATGGATCGACGGTAGTATCAGTATTTGAAAATTATACAAAATCGTAAATGTATATATTTTTAGCAAAGCTTTGGCTCTAAGAAATAGAAGACTGCAGGATCAGCAGCGGCACGCGGTCGATGCACAAAATCAAAATGGCTTCATTCAAAAGGAAAATAGACAAAACTCGATTGTAAGTGACTGGAGATACTACTGAAAATCATAAATTTTATTAATTGCTTTCAAACAGAGCTCCCCCAGCAGTACATTGAAAGAGGGCAACAATGCGACTGGTATGACTTTGCCAAAAGGCGATTGCACCGCCTGCCGGAAGCAGGCAATTTGTGTTTGCCAAAGGTGTGGCGATTATTATTGCTCACCGGAATGTCAGCGGAAAGATTGGCAAAGTCATCGTTACATATGTTTTCCGATCCCGTAAGTATCTAAAATTATCATAATAGTTAAGGTAAGATAATTGTTCGGAGTAGCTCACTACTTGTCCATGTCATAAAAAAAATGTTTTCTGTACGGAGTCCCTCCGGCGCACAATACGTGTGGTATCCGGATAATCAGGTACTGGTTTAATTATTGGCACACAATGCTGGTTTTGGTACGGGTACCTCGCATGCGGGTTTTGGTCGTTCTCATGACGGTCGAGTCTGCGTAACCGGAACGGCCCAGTTGTACATATATGTGAACAAGGACTGTCACTCCAACGTCAATACCCAAAAACCCTTCGGGGAATTTGTAACTTGTTACAGCAACCACAACACGAGTTTTCGCACATAATCAGCCTCATTGCGTAAGTCGTAAATTAGGCTGAATTGTACGACTCGACAACATTAGCATTGTCTACTGTCGTGCTGAAATAAGTAAACGACGAGAATTGTCGAAAACTATCCAGTGCTGCCAAGTTTTTCCGTTTTAAAACACTAGTCGAGTGGAAATTTTAGGCAATGGCGCTAAATTTTTGATACGATTCGACTCTCGAAAAACGACTTGCATTCGGCACGACTCTCGCAATGAGGCTGAATACCTTTTAAGAAGGTATTTATTATAAAAAACGCTACATAAAGAGTGATAATTGTCCCTCGCTATATGATGGTTAGTTTTCCCTAAACAATGTAGTAAATTCACTTATCTTTCTAAAAATGTCGACAAAATAAGCTTTTATAAGCCGGATATCTGAATAATAATAATAAAATTTTGACGGTTATAATTTTTCCAAGTGTTTGGCCGAGAGTTCCTCCTCCAATTTGTGGTGTGAGTCTTGATGTTGTTACACAAATGGAGGGACCTACAGTTTGACGCCTTCGAGCGGCAAATTGATTTTATGAGGAGTTTTTCATGGCAGAAATACACCGAGGTTTGGCATTGCCTGCCAAGGGGCGACCGCTGTTAAGAAAAAAAGATGCAACGCTCTTATGTAGGTACCCAGCAGCTAATTTCAGGAGCTAAAAGCCCTGCCAAAAGACCTTCTTTAGAGTCAAGAGGACTTTTACTCTACATTCATTTCTCCTTTCTTTTTGTATGGAGTGGCACAAACTGAAGGTCTTCTGCTTTCGCTACCCATGTAAGGGCTTTTATATGTCGTAGTTCAGAAGGCCTTTTAAAAAGTTCTAAAGCTGCTCTTTTAGTTCATAATCTGTTTATTTAAGCTTGCAATCTAAAATGCATATTTAAATTCCTTTATTATGTTAAGGGCAAGCTTTAAATTATGTAAAGGGCAAAATTTAAATTATTTGTGAAATACCCAAAAAACGTTCATTTGTATAAATAAGCTAAATTCTTTGAATTTCCGTATATAATCTTTCAGAACGTGACCGTATTAAAAGTGAAAATAAATTGCTATAGTTTTGTATCTGCATAAAGAAAAAGGAGTGTGGCCCTACAAATCAACTAAACTAAGAGCAGCCTTAAACTCGCAATGAAAAACTGGTCAATAGTTTAAACTTAGTTCAAATTTAAACTGATTTTAACTAAACTTCGTTTAAACTGAATTTAACCCACACTGAAACCCCGGCCCCAAGTAATATAAAATTACGCATTCACGTATTGCCTAAGTCAGACGTGGCAATGCAATATGTTTCGAAAAGGCTGTCAAATTGAGAAATTTCAGAAAGCAGTTGCATGAGGATGTTTTTTTTTTTTTATTTTCGAAAGGCGAATTGCAGCAAGTTGAAATATATTTCCGAAATCGATTTGCGCTCTCAATTGCAGTCACATCTTGCAACTTTTATTTCTGAGACTTTCTGGTTGCTCATACATCGAAATAATAATTCTCTTTCTCAATTTGACGGCTATTTGCGGAGAAGTCGGAAATATTGCCACGTCTGACACGCTCTTTAGAATAGCAACTTTCACAAATGATATGGATCCTTGATATGGGCTCGCAGGTGATTAGAATTTTTAACAAATATACATATAGTCAACATTTTTGAAACGTTATGTGATAATAAACCTCAAAGGCTACATTTTATATACAGAGACTTGTTTCCTATCTTCTGTTGTTTTAAAGATGGCCTTTAACGTTAAATTTTTTGGAAGTCAATAGAAGATTAGAAGACGATTAGACAAGCTATCGATAATTATAGGATTCTCTACGAAAGGGACTTAGGTTTCGATATCGAGAAAAAGGTTATATATCTAATCGCATTCTAACGTTTTATTCTAATGGTGATTTCGTACCTTTCCAAGGCGAATTTATATAAGGTGGTGTTACTAGCTCAGCTGATTTTGTGTATGTGTTTCGCCGCACGGCTTCTGATATCAAATTAAAAAATTTTGTTTGAATTTCTACACACACTGTTACAGATTTTGACAGTTTATGCCGCCAAAGCAAAAACAAAATACATGTAAATTTTTGTTTTTGTACTCCTGCTATCACCTTATATTAATTCGCCTTGCACCTTTCTCTTTTCGGGTTCGATTCTAAATTAAGTGCAAAAAAAATGTTTGTTCCTTTCTTAAAATGGCTCACCTTGTAAGACAAAAATAAGGCATCTTCTCTGCTCTTTGAAGCTTTGTCAGGGGAGATGGTTGCCCTGAAAATCAGATGTTTGCTTGACACGTAGCTTGTTTCTTTCCAAGACATGGTTCGAAAGTGTAAATTCGAGCATGAATCATCAAATATAAAGAAAATGAAGATGAGGACGTAGAAACCAGGAATGATGAAACCCGTGAAAGTAATTCAATAGTACCACCGCTATACGAAAATTTGGAAGACATCGATACCATGGAAAACTTCCAGCGTGCATTTCTTTAGGCTAATTCTTTGTTCGATACAATGTCATAAAGCGCGCTTTTCACGGATTCGCCCTTGGAATATGCAGCTCGGTTAGAGGAGGGATTGTAATTTGCAAATGACTTTAAGTTCTTTTTTTAATACGAATTGTTTTCTAATCGTTCTCTAACCTATGCAAATGTTTGTTGGGGACTTTTCATCCCAACACGCAGACGCCCCTCCCATACTTAATGTTCCCAAAACTGTTGTGCCTGTTTTGTTCTTTAATAAAAAAACGTTCCCCATACTTTTGTTCTTGTTTGATCCTCCTTGAAAACGTTCTCAATACTTTCGTGCTTACTTCGTTCTCAATTGAAACGTTTCGTTCACATTCTAGTCGTACTACGCTACCGAGTTTTTCGTTTGAATTTGGTTCTTACGGGAACGTTCCAGAACCTTTTGTTCGCATATGGTTTTCGTTCAAGCTACTCTCAATTTTTATTTATTTATTTATTTAAGTCTATGGTTTTACAGAACCGATTTGGTTCTTTTGCGGGAACGTCCTTGACATTACATTTTGTTCTCGTGCAGAACTAAACCCAAACCGGAATGCGTTCTCGGTTCCTCATTAAAATATTATTTTTGGTGGTCATGAAAAGGCGTGTCTTACATTAATAACCGCTGCATAAACGCTCGTATGTAGTAATGTTAACCTCCATACTTAAGCAGTTATTGAAAATTAAATATACATATGTACATACAATGTATAGGTATGTACAAACCTAATTTTGTTCTAACATTTCTGTTGCAGTCCTTTGGTCTTTCCTACAGCGAATCTGTCTCCAACCATGGTACATGGTGGCGATCAGCCCTTGCTGACTGTTAACCAAATGCAATTAGCAAATGTTTCAGTTGGAAATCATACGCAAACACCTAACGAAATGTGCAATGGCAACAATTTTTCGCAACAACATCAAATGAATAGTCAATATCAACAACAACAACAATACAATTTTTCGCAACAACATCAAATGAATAGTCAATATCAACAACAACAACACAATTTTTCGCAACAACATCAAATGAATAGTCAATATCAACAACAACAACATCAAATGAATAGTCAATATCAACAACAACAACAACAAAGACTTAGTCAGAACATTAATAAGGCTTCACCGCAAAATACCAATAAGGTACAGAAACACAAAGAACCCACTGCTACTTTGCCAAAAGTTGAACTGCCGAAGACAAACAGCCATGTCATATTGACCGGTTTACGTACGCCAAACCGTGGCTACATACGCGCTCTTACCCCTGCCGAAAATGATGAGTACTTATCGAATGCACGCAAAATCGATAGTTATGGCAAAAATGCCCCAGCTATGAGCAAAATGCCTAAAACACATAGTTATGCCATTGCGCCGTGCGAAGGCGTCATGTATC